TCCAGTTTCCCCTTCCTCCTCCCCTTCCCCGCTTTTCTCTCCCTCCCTCCATCCCTCCCTTCTCTCTTTCCCCTCTCTCCCCTTCTTCCCCTCTCCCCCTCTCCTCTCTCCCCTCTCTCTCCCCTGTCCCCCCCGACTCCCGCGGTGTCTGCCCGCGGGTTTCCCCCTCGGGTGGGTGTCTGCCCCGTAACCCCGTGTGGTCCCGCAGGGTATCCCTTGCCCGAAGCCTCCCGCGGTGTCTCGCCCGGATCCGAGCAGGAGAAGGAGCAGGAGCAGCAGGAGGAGCAGCAGGAGCAGCAGGAGGAGCAGGAGCAGGAGCAGGAGCAGCAGCAGCAGCAGCAGGAGCAGCGCAGGTCGGTGCCGACCCCGCTCGGGTCCTCTCCTCGTGCCCCTGTGCCGTGTGGTCGGAACAGCTACCCGTGCTCGGCATCATTTCCAGTTACTGTGCCCGGCACCATTCCCGGCTCTTGTGCCCGTGTCCTGCCTCCCCCGTTCCCGATGCTCCTCTGGCACCGCGGGCAGCTGCACCCCCGGATCCCCCTTCCCGCAGGGATGGGGCTGTGCTTCCCTTCGGACTCTCCTGGATAACCCTTCCTTATGCCTTATTGTTTGGTCTACTGTTTTTAATAAGATTCTAGAATCCCAGACGGGTTTGTGTTGGAAGGACCTTAAAGCTCATCCAGTTCCTTCCCTCTGCCATGGGCAGGGACACCTTCCCCTAGCTCAGGTTAAGATAAGCTGGAAGTGTTCTGTGGGAACTGGGCTTGTTTTCTAGGTAAAATGTGGCCAGGCAGCATTCACCATCAGGAGTGTGTAAAAATACTTTCAGAAGGCAAAATCTGATGACCAGGTTAATACTGGGACATGTTTGAGAAGCCCTGAATTACTCCGTGTCCCAACTCCACCTCTTCTTTCTCCCAGGAGTAATTAAATGTTGAATACTGTACAAATGAACATCTTTTTCAGGTTTCAAGCTGTTATTAACTGTGATTTAGAGAACTTGCAGATGTGCCAAACACACAGATCTGACATCTTCATTCATTACTTGCAGTGTGTGGTTGTGTGACATCCAGGAACACAGAGACAGGGATATTCACAGCGATTGGGGAGGCATAGAAGCTTTGGCAAGTCTCCCAAATTCCAAGGAAAACTTGCTTTTCCTCATCTGCATTGTGAAGTTGTTCTTAATGAAATGTTTTTTACTTTTAAACCACTGTCTGTTCCTGTGTGCATATTTGTGCTCCAGAGGAAGGTGTTAAACAATAAGAACAGTGTCCAAACAGGAGCCTCAAGCTGCTGATTCCTTATTCCTAAATATCTTGGAGCACAACAGTTTTATTTCTAGCTGGACAAACACTAAACCTTTGCACAAAGGGATGATGGCAAAGTTTCACCTTAACTGCTCTGTGAAAATATCACCTTTACTGAACTTTTCCAGATGATGATGACTCGTATTTGGGCAGTAATCTAAGAAAGAATATGAAGTTACAGACAAACAATTGTTAGAGGAACATAAACAACCTTTTAATATCAGTTTATTCTTTGGAAGTTGGAACTAGGTGATCTTTAAGGTCTTTTCCAACCCAAACCTTTCTCTGCTTCTTTGATTTTCACTTCAATATTATAGGAAGAAAGAAAATGTCCTAGTATTCTCCTCATCCTCTTTTCACATAGAATTCCTGGGTTTGCCCCTGCTGGGGCAGAATATTTTGCTGGGGAGTTAAGAAACATAGCAATTACTGTAATATTATAGCACAGGGAGAGGGCACACAAATATTCTACTGCACAAATGCTCAGTAATAACAAGCTCAGGAACATCCACGTGCCTTAAGTGTGTTAATGTGTGGCAGAAGGCCAAAGCTCAAGTCTCCAGTCATTTAGGAAGTGGAAGTAACCTGACTAATTCCCAAACTGTTTGGTTTTCCAGAGCAGGAAAACCCTCCTGCAGGGTTTGGAGCAGGAGTGGTGGTGGAGACTGAAATTCTCTTGCAGAAGACCTTTTGCCTGGCTGAGTCCAACTGCAGTTGTGATATTCAGCCATGGCTTTAAATACCATATTAAAGCTCATTTTTGCAAGTCTCTCCCCTTTTAGCGGCTCTGCTGAGCTGCAGAGTAGCAGGACGGGATAAAAAAGACCTGAAACATTACTTGCAACATATTTGTAACATTAAAAACGCTTTTCAAAGATGCTACCAAGTCTATTAACTTCACCAGTATAAACTGGGTAAACTGAATATAACTTACAAGCTCAGGTGACTTCTCAGGGTGTGAATATTTGTTGTGGTTTTGTTGTTTAATTGATTTAGGTCCTTCTCTGGAGAGACAGAATTTTCTGCAGAAAACTTGTTGCAGCATTTAAAGCCACAAATACCTGAAATGTCATGAAAAGAAAAAGGAGGTTTCTCACTGCAAAGTAAGTCCCAGCTTTACAGATAATGTTGCTTTGAGGCTGTCATGATTTGAGTAGTTTGATGCATGAATTGGCTCCAACCTGGTTCTGTGTCTGCTTTTAAACAGCAGGTGAAGCTGCTAGCATATACTTGGGTTTCGGGGTTGTTTATTTAACCAGTGTATTTACTGTAGCTTTTTTTCTTTTAGATTCCTCTGTATAAGGAATTACTAACCTTCGGAGGACTTACCCTACTCACTCTGCTGATAATGTATCAGCTGGTTGTTGTCAGTTGGAAGTTTCCAAGTGTAGGAATAGATAATTCTGCACTTTTGTTAAAATTTTATTCACTTTTGTAATGCTTTAGGCCTCTAAGTTAACAT